GGCGGTGCCGGCGCCCGAGGCGCAGAAGCGCCGCCACCGCAGCCCACTCGTGTCCGGGGCGAGGAGGGGGATGAAGGTCGAGGCGCGGAGCTCTGCGCTGCGCGGGCGCCGCAGCCGCGGAGCGGCGCCGGGACATGGAAATCTCCAGCCCGCTTTAAATGAGGCTTTGTGGAAAATGGTGCATGCAAGGGAGGGGGCTGTCAAGAGTGATGAATGCGGTCGAAATTGTTCCTCACTTCCAGGCTGTTCTCTGTGAAAAACGTACGGGCAAATGTCCTGTGTATGTGTGCTGAGGGGCCGCGCCTAGACCCCCGATTAAATCTCTGCCTTTGTATGTCCTTGTGGTTTCCACAGCTGGATGCGAAGAAGAGCCCCTTGGCCCTTTTGGCGCAAACTTGCTCGCAGATAGGGAAGCCGGACCCGTCCCCTTCCTCGAAACTCTCTTCGGTCACCTCCAATGGCTCCGGAGGGGACAAGGACTCCAAGTCGGGCCCGTTGAAGCTCAGCGACATCGGCGTGGAGGACAAGTCGAGCTTCAAGCCGTACTCCAAGCCGGGCGCCGAGAAGAAGGAGCCGGGGGCCGCGGGCTGCGCGGGCGCCCCCGCCGCGGGGGTCGCGGCCGGGGAGAAGTCGGGATTCCGGGTGCCGAGCGCCACCTGCCAGCCGTTCACCCCAAGGACAGGCAGCCCCAACTCGAGCGCCTCCGCCTGCTCGCCGGGGCTACTGCCGGCCGAGGGCAAGGGCACCGAGGACAAGAAGGACGCGGAGGGCTGCGGGAAGGGCGGCAGCTCCGGCTCGGAGGGAGGCCCGGGCACCACCAGCATCAGCCACAGCCGGATTAGCGTGAGCTGTGCCGGGATTAACGTGGAGGTCAATCAGCACCAGGAGAGCACGCCGGGCTCCAAGCCCATCGCGTCGGACTCCGCCTCCTCGTGCAGCAGCACCACCGCCACCTCCTCAGCCTCCGTCCTGGGCTCCGGCCTCGTGGCCCCCGTCTCCCCTTACAAGCCGGGCCAGACGGTCTTTCCCCTGCCCCCGGCGGGCATGAGCTACCCGGGGACGCTGGCGGGCGCCTACGCGGGCTACCCGCCGCAGTTCCTGCCGCACGGCGTGGCGCTGGACCCCACCAAGTCGTCGAGCCTCGTGGGGGCGCAGCGGGCGGCCGCGGGCAGCCTGGGCTGCAGCAAGCCGGCGGGGTCGAGCCCGTTGGCGGGCGCCTCGCCGCCCTCCGTGATGACGGCGAGCCTGTGCCGAGACCCGTACTGCCTGAGCTACCACTGCGCCAGCCACCTGGCCGGCGCCGCCGGCGCCTCCTGCGCCCACGACCAGGCCCTCAAGTCCGGATACCCCCTCGTCTACCCCACGCACCCCTTGCACAGCGTGCACTCCTCGCTGACCGGCGCCACGCCGCCCTCTCTGGCCGGCCACCCTTTGTACCCCTACGGCTTCATGCTCCCCAACGACCCCCAGCCGCACATCTGCAACTGGGTGTCGGCCAACGGACCGTGCGACAAGCGCTTCGCCACCTCGGAGGAGCTGCTTAGCCACTTGCGGACCCATACTGCCTTCCCGGGCGCCGATAAACTAGCCCGCTGCCCACGCCCGGCGCGCCCGTGCCCGTGCCCGCCGCCACGGGACCCTACTACTCCCCGTACGCGCTCTACGGGCAGAGACTCACCACAGCCTCGGCCCTGGGCTACCAGTGAGCGCGGGGCCGCGCGCGCCTCGCCGCCACCGGGGAGGGGGAGCCCCTTGAAACTTTATAAAAGTTGGAAAGAAAAAAAAAAATCTGACTTTTTATAAAATAGTGTTCATTTGCGGACTGGATCCATGAGCACTGTATTTATTTATGTTAGCTTCAAGCGGGACAACGAATCATAAAGTGCATTACTTAACTGAGCTCAATAGGTAAAAGTGAACACCCATTGTAGAATATAAATAAAAAGATAGAGGTCTTCTCTTTAATGTTACTTTAAAATTGCTATGATTGTATTGTAAGTTCTTATTTAATGTCTCATTGAAACAGAAAATTTACATGCATGTTTGTTACTAAAAAAAAACAACTCGCAATTTGTCAGTTATAATTTCAAATTGCAATTATTTTTAAGGTGTATACCCTTGAAAGAGAATTGGTATTTTTTTGTATGTATTCTGGAAGAAAAACAAAAACAAAAACAATTTATTCCAAAAACCTCATTTGCCTTATTTTGTTCTTTAAAAGGAACACTTAACTATTTTTAATTTTTAAGTCCACCCTGTAAAAAGGGTTAAGTAAGGTTTACGTCATGTACTAAAATAGACAATGTATCGCTTTAAAGATTAAAATTCCGTATATTTGATGTATTAAAAGGTTTTACTTTTTTTTATATATATACGCTTTGATTCTGTTATAAACCCGAGTAGGTCTCGGATGGAGGCAACTGCTAATTTCTCCTTAAGCGTTTATTCAATTTCAATTAAAAATGAAAAAAATAAAGTTTTTTTTAAATTATAACCCCAGGGCTCTCTTAAAAATAGAGATTTTTTTCTCTTGCACTAGAATTCGTAGGCACAAAATGGGAAAGCTGAGAAATGGTTAGACATCCTCTAGCTTCCCAGAGGAAAATTAACTCTTTTTTTTTTAGTATTGTACTGTGAAAAACCTGCTTTAAAATGCCTGAATTTCAATTTAAAGACTTGGTTCTTTATTTAGAAACAAAAGAGAAAGGCAGGACTTATTTGTAATAGATTAAGTAGATTATCTGAAAGCTTTTTTTTTTACAGTTTAATGCATAACTATTCGTCTTTTCTAAATGAGAAGTTCAGAAGCAATTAGGGAAGCGCTATTTGATCTCATTCAGTTATTCTCCATTTCTCTCTTCAGTACGTATCACAGCACAAATGATCATCACGGTAAAGAAAAAAAAAAAAAAAACCCAGACTGCTCCGAGAACCCCTTTTCTCCTAAAAAGAAAAGCGGGGCGGGGGAGGAGCGCAGCATTTGATGGGAGTCGCTCCTTCCCGCCGCGCGGTCCGAAGCCGCCGAGACGCCGAGCGAGGCTGTCCCTGCCCGCGCCGCGCCCGTGTCCGCCCAGCTCTCGCTGCCACCTCCCTGGGCTCCGCTGCCTCCAGGGCTCGTCGCGCTGCGCTCAGGTAGGAGCAGAGGCTGCGACGCAAAAGCCGGAGCAGCTACTGAAAGCGAGGACTGAGCATCTGCAGCTACAATAACGGGAAGAGCAGTGCCGAGGCCAGGGAAGAGACGGCAGCGACGAGCTGCGCTCCCGCGCTCTGCCGGCGCTTGCACGGGCAAAGGCGCAGGCGGGAACGGGACCTGCTGACCCGCACGGCCCCTCTCCCCCCCGCGGGCTGCCCTCGCCCTCGGCCCCAGCGCAACGCGGGGGGAAAAGTTGCGAGCGGCGACTTTGCTTGACAAATCACTCTTTTTTTTTTTCCCTCCCTCCTTCTCTATCCCCCACAATATAATTACTGTTCAAAGTTTCCCGTGGTGCCCAGATGCTAATTAGTCTAATACATCTACTCCAGATAATTAGTAGAAGTTAGCGCTAATGTGCAAGGGAAAGAAAAGCAGCGAGCTAATGAAGCCCGAGCGCGGAGCGGCTGCCGCTGCCCGCGCCCGCAGACCGGGGGCGGGGCGGGGCCGCCAGCCGGAGCGGAGCCGCCAGCACCGCTTTCGGGGCTCTCATCCGAGATCCGCGCTGGAAACACTCCGTGCTTTAACCAAATGTATTTTTTCCCCCTTAAATGGGAAAAGGATCGTTGCACGGCTCTTTCATAGAATGTAAAACGAGATCGCGTTATGAACCTATGAGTTAAAGGGAGGGCAGGGCTCGAAACTGCGCCAACTAACTTTTAAAAATAAAACACGAAATGGACGCAAACGCGGCGATCAATCGAAAGAAGGCTCGGAGGAGCGGCTGGCGCTGGAAGTCTCATCCTGCGAGCGGGAGAACGGCGGGCCGAGCTCGCGAACGCGCAGCCGGGCGCGCCCCCCGCGCTCTCCCGCGGCCGGCGCGAGCAACACGCCCCGCTTCGCTTTAACCACCCCTAATTTGAAGAAAATTACATTTCAGGCTCCATCTGGGCGTGCGAGCAACTATTGCGGATTTGCCGCGATTAAAAAAAACACCAGCACCACACGCACCCCCCTTCTGCACGTGTATTTTACAACCGCTGCTTTCCAGCAGCCGCGCTCCCCTTTAGCTGCCTGCGATTTAGCAGCAATCAGGTGTTTCGGGGAGCGTTTGGAAGAGAGCGCGAGGCAGATTCCTGCGTGCTGGGCAGCTTAACTGCAGCCCGGCAAAAGTTACACGTGGAAAGACTTGGGGTGTAGCAAAAAAAAATGAACGTTTACCATTATTACTGTTTTGCTCTGATGCTATCCTCAACATTTATGAAAAATTAAAGTAGCTTATTTTATAGAGTGGTGGTAAAGAGGTCCCTCCTAAAGGCTTGTTAAATATTTGACCTGGCAAATGTCATCTAGGATCTTGATATTAATCTAGGATTTTTTTTTCCCTAATCGAGGCTGACTTATGGGCATTAATGTTTTTACGTAAAAGGGCCACGTTTGTTATTTTTTTCCCCCGTTCTTACTAACTGGATGGGTTGCGGAGTTGACAGCAGCCGCTGGTCCATGCCACCGAACTAAAATAATTTCACAGTGAAAAACCAGCTCGAGAGGACAAGCAACAGAAGGGCAAAACCCATCAAAACCGGAAACTCAGATCAATCTGACCAGAGTCAGGCATACATTACTTTAAATTAAACAGTTTCGTCTTTCTCGCAAATCTTTTTTGAACATTAAAGATAAACTCATGTAATATTTAAATCGACTTTGGTCAGATGCTAAGCGCAACTGAAGAACCAGAATAAAAATTAATGAATTTCCATCCACTCTCAAAGGCTTCCTCTGAACGTCACTTCGACAAAATATTTCTGATAAGCAACGCTTGGAAAAAGAAGGGCTCTGTTTACCTTATCTATGGGCAAATGTAATTAAGCTACGTTTATGAAACAATAAAACCCCAGACTCCACAGACAGCACAGGTGTTTATGCAATACATCGGAGCCTACATGGGCATACATACCTTGATTTATGCCTGCGAGTCCCTACTAAACACATATAGATACATGTTTGCTTTGCCCGTTTCCGAATACTGAACTCCTATACCAGGATGCTTTTATGACGGGCAGATTTTACTCAGGAATAGGAGGAAACAGGGTCTCCATTTTCTAAGGCTAGAAAGTCACCTACTGCCCAGCCACTCTCTCTCCAACTAGTTTCAATATCACTAGCAAGATAGTTGGAATACTGGGGGTACTCTTTGAGATTTTACTTTTTACAAATTGTCCACATCTACAATCGAAACAACACAAACAAGTTCTGAAAGGCCCAAACTTCCAAAGAACAAGTTAATGTGCATTCCTATTTTGTAAAAATAAAGATTAAGCTCAAATCTTTCACGTTGAGAAAAGATAGAGAGAAATATTGCCTTTATTTAACACTATTTGCTCTTCCTACAGGCATTCAGTAAAGCACCGTTTCGATTTCTTTTTTTAAGGAGCGAATTTAAGGTTCAAAAAGCGCTGGAGTTATCACCATCAAACCTCCTTTCCATCCAGATTTTAGAAATCATTTGGGACGTTTCTAACGTGGAAATGAACCCCCCACCCCCGCACAGCTCGGCACCGCGAAGCGCAGCCCGCACCGCGCAACCGATCAGTCCTCATCAGAGGGATCTCATCACTGCTCAGTATCTCTCTCGGCTCAGGCGAAGCAAGCCGAGCACAGACTTCCCAGAGCTTTTTTAAATGTAAAACGCTATTGCGATAAAGCATAAAGGTGTCAAAAGAAAAGAGCCGGACTCTCCATTTGCGTGCTTCCACCTCGCTGGAGTGGGCTGCTGTGGCAGCTGAGATGGGGCTGAAATCTAAGCAGATGAAACACTTGGGCTTGTGCATAAGCGCTGTGAGACTGTTCTAAAAAGGGCCATTTCGGCACGATCAAGCAGGTATGCTACAAGGATCCCACCTCTGAGTGCCTGCTCTGTGCCTATATATGTGCACACGTACGTGCGTATGTAACTAACCGCATAGCAATGCACAGACTTTGTCCTCTCTTCATGTCTTAAATTCATCAACTGCTCCCCCTCCCACCCACCCTGTCCCCTATGTGGATAGAAAAGTAAATTCGTCCAGGCTTTGAATATCGTAAAAAAGCCTGTTTTTTTTTTTTTAATCTTCAAATGCATTAAAGACAACCTGACAATGCTGTCATCTGTCTTCAACGTCATATCAAGGCAAGAAATAATGATAACAGAGCAGCATAAAGACGCCCACTGAAACCCGGAGGAGATATACATATATATATATGTATGTATACACATACACACACGTATTCCTTGAAACAGCTTGAAAGAAAGGGGACGATATTAGATTACCGTTCCCAGGCTATTGCAGTAGGATTTTTGCCCCTTGTTTTTGTATTTTTAGTCAACTGCTTCATCTTTCCTGTTTTATTCTGTGAAATGCACACGGTCCTTGATCCCAATCATTTCTGTGGGACGGGGGAAGCAGACGAGCAGGCACGTTGGCTACTCCTAACTACCGCGACCAATGGAAACACATAACGCTCCCCCCACGTCGGCCCCGCCGCGGGCTGAGGTTCTCTCCTCAGCTAATAACAAACGCCTTGGCTCTCCGGAGGCGCAAGCCGGAGAGCGGCGCGGTTCTCCGGGGGCCGGAGACTTTGCACGGACCGGGAGAAGCGAAGGGAAGCGAAGGGAAGGGAAGGGAAGCGGCGGCTCTTCCCCTTTGTCTGCGCGGCGCTGCCGGGCTCGGGGCCGCTTGCGCGGGCGGCCGCCCGCCCGCGGAGCCTGCGCGGGCACCGGGCGCGCGAGGCCCAAGCCGATAAAAATCGCTTGTTTGGGGCAAGAGGAATCTCCCATCTGATCCTAAGGGAAGTATTGCAATATAAATGGATTTAGCGAGATAAAAAAGATACAGGCCGGACCAAACAGAAATGCAGCATTGTTGGTTTTTTTTTTTTCCTTAATCGTGCTTGTAATCTCAGTCACTCTGAAGGGTAAATAAATTGCAGTTGTATGAAAAACAATTGGTACTACATGTGTTCATAACAGATGGGATCTTATCACAGTTTAACTGTAATAAATTCTGACTTCTGGAAATTGTAATCTTTACTCCATGTTAGATGTTGTCTCTTTTCTACTGTAATAACAGGCTACAAACTTCTCAGAGCAAGCAGAAAAGTTTTCGGTGCTAGCAGTACTCCTAACCCCTGTACCCTTCTGCATCTTCTTGACTATCGAGCTCCCTCAAAAGTT